AAAAAAAATTCGGTTCGGTTTGGTTTTTTGAAAATTGAAACCTAAACCAAACCATTTTAAAGCGGTTTGGTTCGGTTTGAGGAAAATGAAACCGCGGGTCTATGTGGACCCAAACCAACGACTTCGGTTCGATTTGCAGTTTCGCGATTTTTTTGTGTAGCCCTAGTTGACATTGACGTGTCCGTGCTTCTCAAAAACATAGGCTCATACACTTTTTCAATTATCAATTTCAATACAATCAAATTATTCTCTTACAAACTTTCGATTTTTCAAATTTGCTTCCTGTTTTCAAGAAATCAATTCTGCCTTCACACTAAAATAGGTATCATAGCAAGGATTTTTACTTGACCTGCTGATCATGGATGGTTCAAGTGGAGGAAAAATCACACACGACCCACAGTGAACGGAGGTTCAAAGCCATCAAGCAACAAGATCGACATGAAGGGCTTGAAAAAATCCTTTGCCATTCAGCAAACTTTAACTGCATTCATTGCAGGGATGCGAAATTTTCGAGGTAAACAATCAGCTAATGACAACTCCAAACATGGCAACTTAGATTCTAGGGGAGCTTTCATTGGAAGACAATGCGCAACAACGATCACTCAAGGAAGAAGACGACGTGCAAAACCCTAGGATCTTTCCAATCGACCGAAAAGTAAATTGCACGCAACCTATAACTTAATCTTAGGATGAATCAAAGAGATCTCAACCTTAGGGATCCACTCGCCGTTGAGCTAGGATAGAAGGACCATCGATCATGCATCATCGACATTGGAGTGAAATGTCATGAGCCAAATTCATGCTCCAAGTAATTCTGATGCCCTAATCAAGATACATCAGCTGTCACTTCAAAATGAACAGGTGGAAACAACAAGATCGATAACTAGTGTTCTACCGACCTCTACTTTTGGACAAGATCAACAAGTAATCACTAGGCAAAAAAGGTTGATGTTCAGCAGTAATCCTCTCGAATCAATACCACAGTGTATGCACGGCCAAACCTTAGCATGTGCTATAGATGTGGTCAGACAGGTCATCTTTCCAATGTTTGCCCTAATAGGTTGTTGAAGATGAAGAAGAAATTGAAGAGCAACAGGAGACTCATGAAAGCGGCGAAGTTACTGCAGGGGATGATGGAGTAGTAGTTACTTGTACTGTGCAATGACTTCTATGTGCGCTAAGGAAACAAAATGATACTCAATCTACAAGATCTTTTGCACCTCTTGCGCAATCTATAAAAAAGTATGTAACGTTTTTATTGATAGCGGTGGTGGTGAATTCACTAAATATGAAGACTGAAAGATACCTAACTCTTTACAAGATTTCATGGATTAAGAGAGGTTGGAAATTCAGGTCATGGAAGTTTGCTAAGTTTCTTTGTCAATTAGGAAGTACTGCAAGTCTAATATCATATGTGATATAGTCAGCATGGATTCATGCCATGTCCTTTTGGGAAGATTGTGGGAATTTGATGTTGATGCCACTTGCAAAAGCCGAGAGAATACTTAATCTTGCTGCCCAAACAAAAGCAATCTCATGATATTTGTACTGCTAATTTCGAAGGGCAACTCTTCACTAGTATTTTCGGGTTTGAATTTCTCAAAACAAGGAACCAAATTTTGTGATGTCACTAGAAGCTAAAGGCACGTCGGATGGGGCACAAGAAATCCTTGACAAGGTTTGCATAGTTCTAGTAGAATTTTTTGATCTATCACCCACAAGATTGCATGACCAGTTGCCTCCCATGTAGACTATGGCAACATTATATTGATTTAGTGCCCGTGGCTAATTTGTGTAACCTACTACATTACCATTTGAGTCTAATGGAATATGCCAAATTGCGATGACAAATTTTTGAACTATTGAAAACGGGTTGATATGTGGAAGTATGGGTTCTTGTGCGGTTCTTGCTTTGCTTACTACAAATGACGGAAATTGGAGAATGTGCAGACAATTGTGCAACCAACAAGATTACCGTCAAATATTGATTTCCTATCTTGCGCTCAAATGACATGCTTGACAGGCTAGAAGGTAGTTTTTGCCAAACTTGATTTGTGAAGTGAATACCATCATATTCATATTTGGCTGAGAGATGAATGGAAAACAACATTTAAAATAAATGACGACTTATATGAATGATTTGTGATGCCTTTTGGATTATAAAATGCTCCCAGTTTCTTTATGCTCTTTTGATTATTCATTAGAAAATTTGTTGTGGTTTATTTCAACAATATTTTTATCTATCGTTATTGTGATAAAAACTACTTGTTGCATCTTTGAGAGGTTCTCATTGCTTTTGAGGACTAATTGTATATTAACCTCAAAAATACAATTTCATGGCTATTCAGCTTCTATTTCTGGGATTTTTTGTTGGAGCTAATTCAATTCAAGTTGATGCATCCAAGTAAAGGTTAATTGAGAACGGCCAATATCTCGCACGGTATGGGAAGTGCGAAGTTTTCACGGCTTAGCTACTTCCTATTGGTGTTCCATTCGGGATTTAGTTCTATTATGGTCCTTTCACTGATTGCTTAAAGAAAGGTAAGTTTTAGTGGGTGAAGTGCAACATAAGACCTCCAACTCATCAACAATAAGTTGTATACTGCACCTGTTTTAACATTGCCATATTTTGAGAAGGTTTTTGAGGTAGAATGTAATGCTTTTGTTTAATGCATTGGGATTGTATTATTCCTAGAGAATTGGCAAGTGGAAATTTTCAGCGAAAAGGCAGCTAAACCTGGCAGATGTGGACAACTTATGACTTGAATTTTATACTTTTGTTCAGGTTCTAATACATTGGTAACATTACTTGGTTCAAAGAGTTTGTTTTGTTTAGTGACCATCACGCCTCGAAGATTCTCGACTCTTAAAAAACAATGAACTACATGCATGCGCGGTGGATCAAATTTCTGTAGTAGTTCACATTTTCTATCAAGCAAAAGTCCAGCCAAGATAACGAAGTAACTGATGCATTGAGTAGGTGTGCCTGCCACGATTCGCAGATAAGTTATTGGCTTCGATTGCTTGAAGGAATTGTATATAGAAGATGATATTTTGGGAAAGTTTAGGACAATTTTAGTACTATCTACCTTTGACTTTCACTTGCAAGATAGATTTCTTTTCAAAGGCAATCAACTCTCTATTCCTTGTTCCTCTTTACAATAATATTTAATTTGGGAAATACTTGTTGGAGGACTCAGTAACCACATTGGACAAGACAACAATTAGCCTAGTAGTGCAGCGATTCACCACAACTCAAGCGAGGCATTGGCTGATTGTTCAACGTTCCTAAATGTCAATGGGGCTAAAGGCCGATCACAAATACTCTTTTACCTATCCACCCTAGAGACTATTTGTCAAGATATGACCATTGACTTTGTTCTTGCACTCTCTTGGACTCAACGTTGATATGATTCAGTTTTTGTAGTAATGGTTCACTTTATTCTTTGCAAGAGGATGTTGGATTCCTCTCAGGTCGCTCATTCATTTTGAGGGAGGTTGCCCTTCTTCATCGTGTTCCTAGTTCTATTAGTTTAGATAGGGATGTCAAATTTATAAGTCATTTCTGGAGAACACTTTGGAAGAAGTTTGACACTTCAAAGTATAGCAGCACAAACTAATGACCAAACCAAAGGGGCTAATCGCACACTTGGTAACATGATTCAGTGTGTTTGTGGTGATAAGCCTAGTCAAAGGGATGCAAGTTTACCACAAATTAAATTTGCCTTCAATAGTATGCCAAACCGTTCAATTAAACGAGCACCTTTCAATATAATATTATATGCGAGCACCTCAGCATACTATAGATTTAATTTTCTTGTTTCCAACCAATGATATTAGTTCTTAAGTTGAAGAATTTGTTTAAAATATGCATCAAATTCATCAAGAAGCTGAAAGGGACGTAGAGGCCACCTAATTTAAACTACAAGGCTACGGCTGATAAACACTGATGGGAAAATTTGTTCAATGAGGGTGATTTATTTATGGTACACCTAAGAATAATTTCCCGTTGAAACATATGATAAACTCCAATATAATGGAGACGGTGCCTACAAGATTGAACTTCTTACAGTTACAGGTAGGGATATTTCTTCTACATTCAAAGTTGCAGATATCTTTGAATACTATCCCAGTTGAATATGCTTTTCGATAACAAACCCGAAGTCGAGATAACTTCAAGTGGGAAAATGATGCAGTACAGTTCCTTAACAAATAGGATATAGATTTATACCAAATATGATTTTTTGTTTCTATAGGACAGTTGAGAGAATCTTGATCAAATAAAAAAAATTAAAATGATTTGATTGTTACCTGGTTTTTAGGGATAGCTTGTTTTATAGTTTGTAACGATAAGATCTTTTATGATTCTTAGAAATCTAGATGTACTGATAGAAATTTAGTTAGTTCAGTTTTAGTTTATCTCCTACTGCAGATTTAGTGTGTTTTGTCAAGGCTTATCAGTTTGTTTTACTAAAGCTTATCTCTTATCATTTCTTGTTATAATACCTATAAATGGGAGATTGTTTTCCTTCCTGATTCAATTGTTTTCCCCCAATCCATAAGGACTTTAGGATTTTCTCTCCTTTTTCTTTCTTGATTAGAATATGATTTTATTTTCACTCCTAGGATTTTAATTAGTTTAGTCATTATGTTTAGGGAATTAATTTGCCCAAATAAATATAGGCCTTGACACTTTTTCAATCATCAATTTCAATACAATCAAAGCCCTTGTTTGAGCCCCAACTTTCACAAAAAATGAGTTTTGTAATAGTGAATTTTAGATAATGTATGGTTAAAAAGTATAGAAAATTTTTGGGTTTGAGTGTAAATTATTTTATTGGTAGAATGTGTGGTTGAAAATGAGTTTGGGAAAAAATTAGTTTTATATAATGGGGCTCAAATGGGAGCAAAATATTTTCTTATAAACTTTTGTATTTTCGAATTTTCTTCTTGTTTTTGAGAAACCAATTCTGCTTCTGCACCACTTTGCCTTTTTGCAGGATCAATCTTCAACTTTTGGTTCTTATTATGTTAATTTTCCTTCCGCCAATGAACTCTATGTTAAAGAAGAGCATTGCACAGCAAGACCATGGCCTTCTTTCTTAAAGGAATACACTCTTGGAATTGTTGGGAAGCGTAAATCCGCTTCAATCATTTCTCAGTCAGAGGAAGTTTTTTTGACAGGTAAAACTCTTTATGCTTTTCCATTAAGTTTCTGAGATTAGAGTATTAGTCTTGCAACATTTCGTTTCATGTGATTAATCTGCTATCCTTCTTGTCCTTGCAGAAATGCCTGCTATTCTTTGTGCAATAGGTAGTGTCTTGCTCATGCATCAAAAGTTGAGGAACTCTGCAGTTGATCTCTTGGCTGTTTGTAACAATGTGGAACCTAAACTTGGTGTCCCTTTGTTGCTACTCGTTCTATTCTACAGTCATGTATTCTTGAATAATGATAAAGAAATCGTTTTTCATGACACACTGGTGAGTTTAAGATTATTGTTGTGAGCCTATACTTCATGCATTGTTTAGTGCATGTGTACATGGGTGTTTCTGGCTGCATACTTCTCATGTACATCAATTCTGAGGTTGTTATACTTATTGATTCTCATGTGCCAGTAACATCTAGTGAAAATTTTTCTGAACTATTGCTGCAGCTAAAGCTCTGGGGCTTGCTTCCGTCATTGGCTTCCCATTCTGTTATGATACCACTAATTGTTCAGACTATAATACCAATGCTTCACAAGGGTGCAAAGCCGTATGTTCTCTGCAAAACTCATATTTTGTGTGGTTAATTATCAACTTGGTTGGTTATGCTTATATATACCCCATGATACTTGAATTTGGATGTGAGGGTGTGTGTTTCAGTGTAAGTTTAAGGGGACTCACTTTATGTGGCACCATCATGTATCTGACTTTTTACATACACAATAGTTTAATGATGATCCATGGAAAGTTTCTCAAATATGTATATCAACACGAGATATCTTTATGATTCAGACAAAGAAAAAAAAAAAAAAAGAAGAAGAAAAATTTCATATCAGCATTGCCTTCCTGATATATACATGCTTTGTGCTGCACAGTATGTATCCACAAATTTGCCATATTACATAAGAAGCATGGATACACCAACAGGTCCAACACGTTTTATTAAAATATTAAGAGAAGTTGCGAAGAAAATCTTCCAAACAGAATATAGACAGTTTTATGATTCCAACAAAATAAATAAGGACAAACTTACATTGATCAAACAAATTTGCGCACTATCCATTAGCCAGCAATCTGAGCTAGTAGACTAGACAAGGAAAAGGTAGGCCAGGTGGGCAAAGAGGAAAATTGACCCCTTGGTATGAGTTAAGCCGTATTGTTGCTGTCCAAAGTTTAGTACTGATACTTGGTTAGGACAAAAGATCACCCTTCTTTGAGAATGAAGTTATAGTTTATCTCGTCAGAGTCGATTTCTCTTAGCCGAGGAAAAATGATGGGAATTTAGCCTCCGTTTGGTGGGGGATTAAAATTAGATTTTTAATAGATTTTGATAAAAATAGATAAAATGTGTGGTTGAAAAGTTGTGGGTCCCATAAAATGTGTGGTTAAAACGAGTTGTTGATTTTGACTTAGATTAAAATTTGAATTTTAATTTCTACCCAATAGGGACTTAATATAGAATAAAGATATATATAATTTACTTTCTAAATTAGATACTTAATTTAGGAACGGGTTTTATTTAATGGATTTTCTAGTATTTTATTGGTTGTTTACTTTCCAAATTAGATACTTATTTTAGGGAACATAATTAGGATTTTATTTAATAGATTTTCTAGTAGTTTGCCACTTAAATTATACCAGTTTAAACCTTATATAAGGGGGCTTATGCATTGTAATAGTTAGACTTTGTTATTGAATAAATTGATATTTTTTACTCTAAATTCTTTTTATTCTCTCCCTCTTCTTTTTCTTCTCTCTTTCTCTTTCTTTCTTAATCTCGTTCTTGGTGAGGAGAGAAGATTCTAGACATGAAGAAAGTGGAAGAGGGAGAGACAGGTGAAGAGTAAAGAGGGGATGGGGATGAGGGGAGAAGAGAGAGATGGGTGAAGGTGGGGAGCATTCTGGACAAGGAAACTTCTGTGGAAATAGGAAGGATAAAAATCTTATTGGTGTCCAGCTGTGAGCCAATAAATTTAATTTTAGAAGACTTGTTAAAATGGTTTGTTAGGAGCCACATTTTTAGTGGAAATATGTTGGCTCAACAAACCAATTCTTGTTTAGTGACCTTACCAACTCATAGAAATCTGAGAATTATATATAAAGAAACAGAAAATGAAAAAACTAGGAATTTGATTTTATATTATTTTCATCAATATGTCCCTTACATATCCAGTCCTACTTTTCCAGAACATCATGTGTCAAGGTGCTCGTGTCATGGCTTTGTCTGTGCTTCATACTAAGTAGATTTCTGAACTGCTTATAGTTGATGAGCTGCTTGGATTTTCCGACGCGGTGTCTGAGCAATTTCTGTTGTTTTTGGTCTTTCCGAGTTTTGAGAAATGTACAAAAGGAATAACTTTTACACTGAGATCTTCTAATAGTGATACTATTAATGTGTTTTTACCATACACTGACTTTTTAAGCTCTCTTTCGATTTTTATCTTCCATACAGATACAAAAGAAGTAAAAATAGCTTTGTTGGTCTGGCCAAAAAATGTGCAAATGTGCACTTTCCAATGAAGTTTTTTATTTTTGGAGCACACAGTGTGACAATGTTTGGTGGTCATTCTGCTACTTGATCTGTTCTGTATTCTTGTTGACATAACTCTTTCTTTTCTTTTCTTCTTTTTCCTTTTTTGGGATAGGTAAACTGAAAGAATATTTTTTTTTTTTTTTTTGCTGTTGACCTGTGGTAGAGGATAAGTTATTATCTTAATGTTATTTGTTGTTGTTGACTTCTCACTCTCAGTGTTCTATATGCTACTGCAACGCGTTTGATTTGTAAGACATGGGAGATCAATGACCGTGTCTTTGGGAGTTTGCAGGTAATGTTATTTATTTATTATTATTTTTTTTAAAACACACTTTGTAGCCTGAAATGAGCTGTTTCTTGTCTATTAAATGTAAAACTGATGATTTTGAAATTACAAGTGAAGATTTAAAATTAGAGCTCTCCTGCTGCTACTGCCTACGTTCCCCTAAACACCCACACAGGAAGGGGGGGATAAATCTGTCACTGTTGTGAAATAAAACAAGAAACTACAAGAAAAGATATAGAAAAACAAAAGAGAGTTCTGTGTGATATTAGTCTTGATAGCAAACGCTTCCTCAATTGTCTAAATACAGATATCTAGCAGCCGTTTTGTGGGATATATCTAATAAAAGTTTTTTCTAATTTTCTATATGTTCTCATTATTCTATGCAAATCAACGAGGTTTATTGGTCATTTTTCTGGTATTCTTAAGTGAATAACAGAGAATTAGAAGGTCGTTCAAGTCTTTTTGTGTGTTTATTTTTTCATACATGCTCCCCGCATTGGTTTAAGCAGTTTGGAATTTTTTATTGGTCATTTACTTTGATATCATTTAGGTTTTTCTTTTACTATATATAATTTTCAATTCAAGTTAGTGGTATGTAATTTGAAGTCTGAAATCTGGATCAGAAATGTCGACAATTTAAATGCTACAGTAGTATTATCCATGCCTAATCTTAATTTTTTTATTCCCTAGCTACATCAGATATTTTTCCTTAATAGTTGTCTATTATTCTTCCTTGTGGGTTTTAGGGAGTATTAGCGCCAAAAGGAATTAGTGAGTTCTCGTCTGACAGAGAAATCTGCATTAGTATTGCTGTTTCCATTCAGGATGTTTGCCGAAGAAACCCAGATAGGGGAGTGGACCTTATTTTAAGTGTAGAGGTATGCTCTATTTGTGTGTACTCTATGTTTAATATGCATGCTGTTCCAGCTCTTTACTACTCTATTTTAGTGAACAGGCCTGCATTGAGAACCAAGATCCTTTAGTTCAGACTCTTGGACTCCAAAGTCTTGCCCATCTTTGTGAGGCAGATGTAATTGGTAATCCTTTGCTTTATGCAATAATTATGCTAAACACTTAATATATGCATATTCAGTAATTCAAGTTGTTTCACTGCAACCTAAAATCGAAGATGTTGCTCTTTCAAACAAACCATCACATTGATATCCTAGTTTCATTCAGTAAACATGTATAGTATTAAGATATATTGAGATACTGTGTTTTTTCAATTTTCTTTTGTATGCCTTCAGACATTTTTGCTTTTGCTAGAAATTCCTTTGTTCCATGCTGTTGCTTCAAACTGAACCGACCTGCGTGTCATATTTCATGTTATGTTGATTTTTCTGCTTGTCCATATCTACAAGATCGTCGTCAGTTTTGAAAAACCTGAAACCTTCCTTCAATGTGATCCCTTTGGCCAAAAGATAAAGTTATATTTGACTAAAGTAAATTTGGAATGGAGAAAATGGTAATTGGCCAACTCTGATTATATCTTTTCTAAGAAAATATTTTTATGTACTTTCTCAATCAAAACAAGTTCCATAATGAATCAGTCAATAGTTTTGTTAGAGAGCCAGAGGAGTTCTCATGTATCCATTATCCTCCTCTTGGATCTTCTCCAAAACCTTGACACATAACATGAGTAGTTCAACATTCTTTCTTAAATATTTATAGGCAATCTTGCTGAGGAGATATGCATGCTTGCTATTATCTGACATCTTGTTTAAAATCTTCCAAGCAAGAGCATTTGTCTGCAAATGCTGCAAAGTCAAAGTTTATTTATAAGAAACCCATAGCTAATGATATGAATCGTGTGAACTTTTTTGGCAATGATTCCTCTATAATTTGAAATTGATGGATCCTATTATACATGGTTCAGACTTTTATACTGCATGGGATGTGATTGCAAAACACGTGCTGAACTACTTTGGAAATGCCGCTGTTGCTCATGGGTAAGTCTGCACATTTTATTTTGTGTGTGTACTTTTGCTGCATGGGCCTGGTCTTGAACATCAACACATGCATGCATCCATCTCTTATCTCTCAGAAAAGTCCGCTTAGAAAATTTTCACTTTCCTTGCTATAGAGCTGTGATATATAAGCTTGTAAAGACTCATTCTTGATATCAATAATCAATTTCTACCTTTCAGCATTTGGTTTTCTCACTGTTTTATTTTTATTTTATCTTCCAACACGAAAATTTTTTCTCAGGTAATGCATATTCATAGAAGCATACCAGATTTCAAGAATAGGAACATGGAATTGTTTACTTCTGAGACTGATCGAAATGCCGCTGTTGCTCATGGGTAAGTCTGCACATTTTATTTTGTGTGTGTACTTTTGCTGCATGGGCCTGGTCTTGAACATCAACACATGCATGCATCCATCTCTTATCTCTCAGAAAAGTCCGCTTAGAAAATTTTCACTTTCCTTGCTAGGCTGTCTCATCTTTTAAGATGGGGTTCAATGGACGCTGAAGCACACCCAGAAGTTTCTTCGAATGTGCTGAATATATTATGGGAAATTGGAAGTGACCGACAAGTCGGTCGTGGTTCGTTATGGACAAGAACTCGAGTGGCTGCCTTCATGGCATTATTGCATTACGAGGTAGTTCTTGTGAAAACGTCTTATTGTTAAAAGGCCTCTCCCTCACCCCCTCTCTCTCTCTCTCCCCCACACCCTCCCTCCCTCCCTCTCCACACAGACATAAAAGTCAAAACATGTAACTGATAGGGAAGTTGTATAAGGTCCCTTAAAAGTAGTAGAGCTGTGATATATAAGCTTGTAAAGACTCATTCTTGATATCAATAATCAATTTCTACCTTTCAGCATTTGGTTTTCTCACTGTTTTATTTTTATTTTATCTTCCAACACGACATTATTTTCTATATCCATCTGCTTTTGAAAGAATTTATGAATATGTCAAAGTTGATCATCTCCATTGTTTTTCCAGTACAAGACGAAGATTTGTAAAGCAAAAAAGGGTCTCGGCAAACAAGATTGAGAAGTTGTTAGATGTTTTCCCTCAGGCTATTTTTACTTCAGGTAGTGTTGCTTCTCCATGTTTTATAACCTGTTATTACCTAAGAAATGATACATTTTATTCGTCTTCGTGCATCACCTGACAAAATAATTTCAAATAGTGGTACTTTTGCACTGAGATTCAGTGATCTAATTTACCCTGCACTTTTAATTAAGGCTGATGAATGATGACTGTGAGTCATATTCTAAAGATTTCCAGTAATGTTGAGAGAATGAGAGTAGGCAGAAATGAAAATTGCACTTTTAATGAGAGAACAAAATATTGATAAAGTTGATCACTTGGCACAACCTTTGATGTGATTTTGACCATAGGTATTAATTTAGCATTTACGAAATAGTTGATTCCAAGTATATGATGTGATGGGCATGTTTATAAAATTTAAAACATCTTACAATCACAAGCACATTTCATTTGCAGGAAGTAACAGCAGAGCTAGAGAATTCCCTGGTGCAGCTTTATTTTGTCTTTCATTTACTCAAAAAGATGTGAACAGAGTGTCAAAGGTTAGATGATCTATCTTTGTATTATGTTGAAAATCATTTTCTAGGGGTTGCTGGGCTTTTACTCTCCATTTTTAGTGTATAGGGATTACAAGATGTGCACAGTAAATACAAGGATGCCATGGTGGAAATAGCTGAGTCTCTTCAGCTCTCGAGAAATATTTTGGTAGCTTTACTCTCATTGCAATCATGGAAAGCTTTTATGCAAAGATGGATGAGGTCTTGCATCACACTGCTTGATGCTAATTCGCATTACACTGTATTAGATAGAACTTCGAAAGCTGCTAATGATATTTTGAAGGTTCAGTATGCTTCTTTTGTGTCCATGGTGCACTAAAGACATTGGTTATCTGAAATGTTAATGTTAATCATATTTTAATTTTTTCTTCATTATAATGCAGGTTATAAGACAGACAGCAGAAGAATCTATCCCTAGATCTGCTGAGAATATGGCTCTGGCTCTTGGGGCTTTTTGTTTGGTAATTAATGCACAAGTTGTATACTGTTACCACCATTTTATGCAGAATGTTGTTCCATATAGATAATGCTTGTCATCTTCCTCAGCATAGCAGAAATTAAACTTCATTAAGTACAGGTTTTTGCAGCTTCTTTGGGGTCAATATATTCCTTCCTAACGCTTGTTTCTCTTTCAAATATCTGTTTCTTAAACAAATGGCATTTATTAATGACATCAATTGGATTTTTAAGACCTTTGGAGGATGGGTGCTCTGTGAATTTTAGTGTCTTCTTAATTCCTTGAATGCACGAAATGCACAGAGCTGAATCAGTTAGGATCAATG